GGCGCTAGACGAGGAAACTCCCTGTCCGCCGCGTGAGAGGGTGGTGAGGGAGCAGGCCGCATCGTCGGTGCGCTTCTGAATACAGTCGAGGATGAGGATTGGCAGGCCGCAGGCTATCAGCACGCTAATAAACATGGCCATCGCGACACCCAGTTTGACAAAACCTAGCCGGCCGTATTCGCTGGGATCTGGAGACGGCGTCACCGTGGTGTTGCCGCCGTCACCAGGATCGAGTATATGGCCCACGTGCAGAGCATTAGCGCTGACAAGGAGGCAAACGACGAGGACTGCCACACGAAACTGGAAGGAAAGAAAACAACAGAAAATATTATTGGTTAGGAGGGCATAGGTGAAGGAATCCTTGCAAGTATCACCACTGTAACACCGAAAACCCCAGGTTTACATAGTACGTAGCCGGCAGTAATAGAGGTTATACGGATGGGGCATATCAGAGCAAAGAAAAAATAATTAAAAAGTAGAGCGTATTAAAGTAGTAAATAATAGAAACCATTATTTAAATAAATCAATGCTTTGCAAGAAAAGGCGCGCGATAACTAAAAGTGGGAAGCACAACCAATAGGAAAGAAGAACTGCGCAAATAGTACCCGCGAATTGGCCACAATCGTATATCGACCCTGTATTGAATTTTACAGAGTAAATTAAAAGCATGAAAGGTAGGATTTTATCCCATTTTTTTAAGCTCACAACAGCTTCTAATGCATTTGGACAGCTATAGTAGTACAACAAGCCGAAAAGTCGGTAATAAAAATTAAAACTAAGGTAAACGCAAATAACTATAAACCAAAGTAGACTACAACTACTAAAACTGAATAATAAATTCAAAAATAAACTGAAAGGCAACTATGCTGAACTAACTAAACTAAAACTAATCCAGACAACAGTAGTTTACGTAGTGCTCCTCACGTACGCCTAGTCTCAGCATTTTGTCCTACGGAAACGGGGGCTATAGGGATGTAATGGGTGGGGAATTAGGATAGGCAGTGGAATATACTTTAATAACTGCTAGATGCATTTTTATTTTATTACATTTGGAAAGGTTGTTGACTTATATCTATAGATTTTCCTAATCTTTATCATCGTTTAGCGTATTGCAGAAAAACCCGATAATCAAAATTCAGGTTTCTCTAAATTCCTGACAAAATAAAAATGGTGGTTAGGAGGTCGTCTACTTCAACTTACCGAGGTCCAACTTACCTTTATAGAGTTGCAGTGGTATAGTTCGCCGTGCAAAGCACCGCGCACACCTTCAGTTTAGTTGCGGAACAACTTACTTTCGGTGGCCGCGGGAAACAAATTCAACTACATTTTCCCACTTTATACTTATTTCTACAAATTTCATTCACTACCAATCTTATTTACCCATACCTAAAACCCCTATAATCACCGTTTCTGTAAGACAAAATGCTGAAATTAGGGATATATGAGGTGCACTACTTAAACTACGTTTGCCCTAATATAAACGGAAAAATAAACTAGAGTAAAATCAAAATAGGTAGTTTTGTGTAGTAAACTACGGTAGTTCCTATAAGGCTACCTTACCAAATCGAGTTCAAGTAGAACTAGATCATGGGCGCAAACATATGAAAGCGTGAAATATGATGATGTTTTGGACGAGAGCTAAGAAGACATTAATGGTTCTTGAGAAAGAAAAAACGGACATTTGACGATCCCAGTCTCCACGCAGACCAAGTAGTTTATTAAACCCGTCATGAAAAAAAAGCTAACTCAGGTGAACGTTGTACGAGCTTGCGTCCCGGCGTGCATATTTGACAGCCCGAGGACCTCAGCAAAATCAAGACTGCGCACAAAGGGCCTTTACTTTATCTGAACATTTTCATAAAGACGAAGGGTTGTGATCGTAAATACAACTATGGGATGGTTAAAGAGAACTCGCGAGCAGGTGTTCTAAAGTATGCAAGTAAACCACTCAAGTCAATGTCAAGGACTCAGCGCTAGAATACTGAGGAAAGCCTGCTCAATGCCCAGAAGACTCGGCTTCAAACAGAAGGGAAAGAGTACTGACAGCGAGAAGGGGAAATGGGATGGGTCTTTCTGGTTTATTAGCTGTCGCCAGATCTGAATGACGTCAGATTCGAATGCGCATTGTCGGACCAGTGTTCTATAATGAAGCCATGGATCATTATTCTGCCATATATGATAAGGATTTTCGATACCATAGGAAAGGTGTCGAACGACCAATTTACTAGAGATACAGTAGGACACCTAACTCATGAAATCCAAGGATTTTTACCAGTAACTACCTGTTACTCAAATGCAGCCCAAGCTGCGACCCGCAAAGTCTTAGAGCAATAGAATAATAGTCATTCTTCATAAAAGGGCATATTGTGATTTATGAAGGATATACATTTTTATAGAAATACCAGCTTTTTTAGCAGTGTGGAAAACTCCGAAAAAGTGTAAATCGGGCGTATTAGGTAAATTTTAGTTTTACTCATAGAGTAAGCCTATTCATGCAAAACCACCGAGTGAATAAAGCAGCACAATTAAAATTACGTTGGAAACATGTTTTGTCAAGTTTTTGAATACATATGCTTCCATTTTACGTGCAATATAATGTATAGTTGTTACCGAAGAGCCTAAAACTTGAGTATGTATTCTAACACGTTTTCCCGAGAACTGTTAGTCGTTTCTTTCGTTTATGCATCGGTTTACTTATGATGGACTAAGGCAACCACGTTTTCGCTTGATATGCCCCATTGGGA